AAATCCGAAGCCCGAATTCGGTTCTTCTGTCTTTTCCCCTCTCTTTCTCTGCCTCGACACCCCTCAAACATAGACCTCATTTGTCATGCACCCCAACCTCCGCCGGCCCTTGTATATCTAATCAAAGAATTTTCCTGTCTTGGTAAAATATTTGTATTTGACATTAATCCCTTTAATCATCGTTTCCAGGCTTCCCATCTGCCCTCACGACTGATAAATCCACTCGCCTTTTTCCCCCCGACATTGAAAATGGCATCCACGACCCCCGCCATGACGGTCGGCGAAGCGTTCAAAAACCGGCGGACGCTGTACACCCTGTCGGACAAGGGCCTCGCGATTTCCCAGTCTCGCATTCTGGACATCATCCGGGCCGCCGTTCTCCACACGCCCACCCCGTTCAACTGCCAGAACGGTAGGGTCGTTTTGCTGGTTGGGGATGAGCACAAGAAGTTTTGGGACCTGGCGGGCGAGATTGCGCTGGCGACGGTCGGCGGGGAAGTGTTCGAGCGGGCATACGAGCCCCGCGTTAAAATGTTTCGCGCAGCCTATGGGACGGTATGTGTGCTGGTGTATTTTTGTTTGTCTTTTTCTCCAAATTACCCACTGATGGGAGCTTGCTGACTTTTTAATTGCCATTGTGTCTATCTAGGTACTCTTCTATTCTGACCCTGCCGCGCTGAAAGCCCTTGAGGCTAAGTGGCCGCCCACGGTCATAGACAAGTTCCCGGACTGTTTGGACTCCTCTCCTTGCTTATTTTTCTCTTCTCCATTGTTGACAATGAACACTTGAGGCTAACATGTGTATCAAAACAACAGGGGAGCAACAGGCAAATGGGATGCTTCATTATGCTGGTAAGCCCCGTCTCACTCCCATCGGGTACGGAATCTAAGTAGTGACAATGTGGGGGTGGCTGACATTACCCGCCCTTTTTTGCAGTATGGACAATGTTGACGGCGGAAGGTCTCGGGTGTAGCCTGCAGCACTACAACCCGATGGTAGACGACAGGGTGTGCAAAGAGTGGGACATCCCAGCTGGCTGGAAACTCGGGGCGCAGTTGGTGTTTGGGGCTCCTGCAGGGCCTTTCCGTGAAAAGACATTCGAGCCAGTTGAGGAGCGACTGTTTGCGTACGGCATGTGATAATGACAAAAGCAAGTTATCAGGTCTCCGCAGGTAGTACAATCTGATCCAAGGAAATAAATCGAGTATTTCTTCCTTCTGGGTGAGCTGTAGGCCTCGAGTAATACACGGATTTTTCTTAGATATGTTTGTTGTTTCCGAGGAAGCTGACAGGCCTCAAGCCACACAACTAGATTCACGAAAGAAATTCGGTAAGTAATCGGACATAGCTGTTCATTCCGAGTGAGCTGACAGGTCCAAATAGCACAACCTCATATCAAAGGGAAAAAAGAATCCGGATATGGGCGTTCTTTCGGAGTGAGCTGACATGGGGGGGTTCATCCCAAGATCCTTTGCAGGACTTCGGGCCGTCTGTGATAAGATGGTTGCCCTGTCCGAATGTACCTGGATTTGTTACTCATGGCTTCGCTCCGTCAGAGCTTCCAAAAGGAGGCTCTGCATCAAGGGAGCGAGGTTTTCCGTTGGTGAGCGGGGAAACCCTAGGTCCCTCGCATCCTCCTCGCGTTTGTTGTCTGCGGTTGTGCTCCAATGAGAAGGTACCGTGGAGGGAAATGACTCAGGCGGCCCAAATCTCCCCCGAGCGCTGACCCAAGACCCCGCACAGTCTGGAGACCAATCAGAGAGACCCCCATCGACAATGAGAATCTCTCACCGAGAGCCCGCCAAAAGACCCGCACAGGAGGCTGCCTGCCTGGGGACCAATCGCAATGCCCCGTCTCAACTCGGTAGGTTGGCAGCGTGAAAGAGTAAAAAGGTTTTCTTTTCTTTCTTTTCTTTCTTTTCTTTCCTTTTTTTCGAAAGTCAGCCAACCGATCGACCTCCCTTTCAAAGGCAAGGATTCCCTTTCAAGGTACCTACTTTCTTGAAAGATGCCTGCGGGAGAAGGGTGGTTACTTCCATTCTCGTACAGACCAGCAATTCGCGTAAGTAATGGTGTTGACATCGTGGCACCCAGTTTGGTGAAATGGAAGGCACGAACCGCTGGTTTGTACCACAATGGTAGGAACCCCCCACCCTTCTCCTGCTAGGTGATTGATGGGGGCCACTCCTTGCGAGACAGTGAATCGGAGCACTGCCAGTGACATGTCGAGAGGTGGACAGGGTAATCAGATAAAGCTCTGACGCGGCGTGAGAGTGGCGTACATGGCGGTGAGAACAGGATGCAGTGGACTCAGAAATATGCTGTTGGTGGCGCTGTGCTGCCTTCCGAAGGCATTCCAAGATGGTTAAATTGAATCCGCCCATTCCGTGCATCTCCGTATGCAGCTCTACCCGTGAGGTGTAAGGTTCTATAACGGAAGAATCCTTGAAGCTCGACGGCGTCACTGCCACCTGCTCCATTGGCAACTTGCTATTGGTGGCGCTTGGCGGGATTCCAGGGGCATTGTAAGAGGATTTGAGTTGATTCCACCCGTCTTGTGTATCACCACACGTAGTCCTGTTAGTAAGGTGTGAGGTTATACAAAAGAATCTGTGAAACGGGACGGTCTTGCTGATGATGCGAGACGATAAAGGTGCGTTGGGTACCTCGGAAATTCGGGCTCGGATAGAAGCCCGTTTAGTTGGCCGAGGCTTCCGGCTTCCGAAGCTCGTTCTGTTTCCAAGAGTTGAATGTTAGAGGAACCTACCGTATGCCAGGTAAGATCCTGCAGTGCGGTACAAATATTTTCCGCTCGTTTTTGAATTACAGCGACTTTCCTAAATCAGCTGCTTACTCGCCGTGCATATGTGGTGACCGTGCATTGTGCTGCGCACCGTGCATTCGCTGCCAGTGGTTGGCATAGCCCCAGGCAAACCCGAGTTCCCATTCATGGGTTAAGGGGCTCTCTTCTCCTCCTGGGACCCCTGGGGGAAGGACATGGCTCGAGAAAGAAGCGTCCGTGCCGCAAACTGTGATCGAATTTATTGGCAGTTGAAGAATTGTTTTACAGCGACTTCACAGAGAAGTTAAACTTTAAAGCGCCAAGCTGCCCGCCAAGCTGCCCAGACGCCAGCGTTCCAGTCAACTCCAGGGAGACGGAAGAAACAAGCCAACGCAAAAGTCTTCAATGACACCCAAGATCAAATACCGCGCTACATGCGATGGCTGCGCCGACTCCAAAGTCCGATGCGACAAGAAACGTCCACTGTGCGGTCGCTGTACCCGGACAGGCAATGCCTGTAACTACAGCATGTCGCTCAGAACCGGTAGAGCAGCCGTCAACAGACTGCTTCAAACACAGCCCTTGATCTCAGACTCGACATCAAGCCTGAGTTCAACCATCAAAGTCGGCACCGAAGAGAAGACACCGGATAAATCGTCATATCCTGACTTGGCCTCGCCACCCGGCGCTAATACTTCAGAGCCACCCTCGTCCATTATTATGGACGCCAACCTGTCTCCGACATCGTCCGCTGTTACCTACAGCATTGCCATCGCTTCTCCAACACAGACAGCAGTCAGCAGTGGCGACTTCACGCAAGAGCTGGATGCATTTCTTCAATTCCACTCCCAGCTTCCTGCCACATCAGTGTCGACTGCATCGCAGGCGTCGGATGCAGACATGCTCTGGCAAGACATGACCCAGTTAGACTCTTCCTCCGACATGATCAACCTTTTCTGGTCCAGCACAGAAAGCAGCAACGCCCAACAGTCCCCAACCGATAACAGTCTGGCCGCGCTCGCCGCGCCGATGAACATTGACCCCCAGATCAAAGCCATGGATGACAGTGGCAGCCAGCCTGCTTCAAAACAGCTGCCCGTATCACAACTCCGGCACAACTGCGCGGCCGAAGCCAAGATGTGGCTGCATAGACTGAACCTCCTCACGCCAATAAGACCCGAAAACCACGACAAGATTCCCGGTTCTCCCCCTTCTGAGTTGTACACACCTCCATGTCCACCCATGGACACCCCTGTTGACCACGCGCTCGTGGTGTGCTCCAGTGTGCGCAAGCAGCTCCTCGAGATTCTCCGATGCCCCTACCGCCACGATGCACACCTCCCATTTTTAGTTGCTGTCACCTTCTCGAAAACACTGATGGTATACAGCGCTGTCGCCGACCTCGGTGACCCCACTCTCTCCAGAGATACTCTCCCCGACACGCTGCAAGAGAGTCATCATGAGCCTCCCCCGAACCTACAGGAAACTCAACAGGGCTACAGGTCAGTTGCCCTTCGAGTGGGCAGCTACGATATTGAGGACGACCAGTTTGGCAAACAGCTCAAAGCGCAGCTCATCTTACATGAGCTTTCCAAGATGAAAGACATCGAGGAGCTGTTCTGGGAAAAGTATTGCGGCGGCGGCGATAGAGGGACTGGCAATTCCTCCATCTATGTTGCACTGGGCGCCTTTGTAAAGGACCGGCTTGCCAAGACCATCCAAGGGTGTGAGCTGAGAAGAGATTCCCTGTCTGACGCGAGCTGCCGTGATCAATGTCACAGTGAGTGCGAGGAAATTCGGGTTAGAAGTATGTGATGGAGGGAACCTAATTTTCTGGGTTAAGGTCCTCTTCGGCTTTTTTGACCCCATCCTTGTTGAAGGAGTGTCCTTATACCATAAAACTACCTACTCGTCTACCATCATAGAGAAAGAGACAACGTATCCACAACTTAGTAAAGTACTTTGTCTGCTCTTAAGTCTTATGTATAACCCTAACCCTCCGTTTATTCCACCCTCTTCAAACTCCAGATTCCAGTAAACACCGCAAAACCACCCAGCAAACTGCAGGTATTTGATGAAGAATCACCGCAAGATGACCACAACTCTATCGCGCGACATGCGCGAAGCCCGCAGCTACGACGCACTCAGAAAACCTGGCTTCAGGCAAGCCCACCCAACACCACGCATTCCGACACGCAATTACATACGATGTGGGTCGGGCTGTTGGTCTAGAGGTATGATTCTCGCTTTGGGGTTTCTTCAAACAAATTTGCCTCTGCGAGAGGTCCCGGGTTCAATCCCCGGACAGCCCCCTTTAACATGATACTTTTTGCTAATTGAATACAATAGCAGCAGCAGCATTCAACTGACTGATCTAAAATTGGGGTAACAACAGCAAGCAGCAGCAATCGGCTGGCCGATCTAAATAAAGACTTGCAGTCACGGCCATGCTGCGTCAAAAATTCCTTGTTTCTACATATATGAGTACTTGTGTTTCTCGCACTACCAATTTTTCCAAGGACCACATTCTAGCGTCCTGGTAATACGTATGGGCAAAGTGTAACAGGAATTTAGGATGTAGCACTTTTGTAACATCGATTCCGAAGTGACTTTTCACAGCAATCGACAACATCATATGGAAACCGGGAAACTTAGCTCCCGCCCCATCCACACTGACTGCCAGCTCAGTCTAGGTCTAGGTAGGTAGGCATCTTTTCCCTCACTACTCGACACTTGGTTTCTTAAGAGCTGCGGCATAGACGGCCTCCTCACAGGCGCGGAAGCACTCGGTGATGGTTTTGTCTCCGGGCGGAAGGATCTGGGAGAAGAAAACACCGCCCAGCCCATTTGTGCGGTCGAGCCACTGGTGGGAAGAGGGGGGGAAAGGTCAGTAAAAGGCTGACTGGCTACCGGGGGCCCGAGGTGAGACAACATGGCAAAAATGTGAGTTGCAGTTGCCAGAAGGTGAAGGGGGGGGGGGGGGGGGGGGAAACCCACAGCATGAACACCCGCCATCCCCTGCCAATTCGCGCTATTCGCCGCCCTTCGTCCAGGAAATGCCTGCGCGTTGATGCACGAGCCGAGGCCAAAGTCGCCGGTCGACCCCTCAGGCCACGTCTGGCCGAGCCAGGCCCGCCGCGAGCCGCAAACAACCTCGACGAACTGGGACGGGTTACTGAGCTGGGGCCGCAGGATCTCGTCCATGCTTTCATTTGTAAGGATGGGGTCCCCGCCGCGCAGCATGGCTAGCACCAACCTAGCTTGGTCAGCGGGAGAGCTGTAGAGGCCGACGCCGCCGCAGCAGTCCGCCGCGGGGTACCCATACGGGACCTGTCCCTTGATGAGAGTTCCGTCCGGATTCCTGTGCCCGACCTCAACGATCTTGGCTTCTAGCTCTGGGCTCTCCCAGGGACGAAACGTGGTCGAGTCCATTCCCAGTGGGGTCCAGATGTGCGTCCGCATGAAGGTTTCGAGATCTTGCTTTGCAACGATTTCGATCTGTTTTTTGGGGGGGGGGGGTTCTTGGTTAGTAACGGTAGAGTGGTCGGGTTAGCTTCGAAAGACCATTGGGACATTCATAGCGAAAAGACTGGACCCTGAGGTTGGTTGAGGGAGAGGGAGAAAAGCAAACGTACGGTTCGGCCCGCCCAATCCATACCCGGCCCGTACGCCCAGCCTTGGCCCGGGTCAAAGATCAACGGGTGCAGGACACCCGCGTAAGACCCGGCGAATGTCCCTATTTCTCGCCCAACAAAATCGGACCACTTTTGAAGACCATCGTGCATCTTATCATAGCAGAAGCCACTGGTGTGGGTGATCAGCTGTCTGTTATGTGGCTTGTAGTTAGTAACTGTTCAAGGGGGTCATTCCCAGATTCATCCATGAGGTCAGGTCCCCTACCGGAGCGTAATTGGGCTTGTACACTTCCTGAGCCGAGGAACACCATTTTTATCGAACCCCTCAAGGACCTCAATATCAGCCAGTTCGGGAACAATGCGTCTCACATCCTCATCGAGAGTAACCAAGCCCTTTTCAACGGCGATCATGGTTGCGATGGTTGTAGACAGCTTGGTGAGAGAGCCGATCCAGAAGCAGGAGTCGGGGGTTATGGGCGTGGATCCAAGGACATCGCGAGTCCCATACGACCCAGTGTAAATGATACCTACATCCTTCCAATGTTAGCCGTCAGCCAACCTGGACTCAGGCAACTGTCTTTTGAGACGGTACGCTAGTCAGATCTTATAATTGCAACACAGGTCACAAACCTGTTTTGTCAAAAGCATAAAAAGTCGCGTTATGTAGCGTTGGGGTCTCGCCATCGACTTGCTTCCTCAAACTGTGATCAACTTCTTCCATGTTGGGCATATTATTTCGCCTGAAAAAATTCGAACTGGATGGTGGCAAGATTGGAATTATGAGACGATTATAAGGGAAAGATGAGTTTTCATGGTTATATGGCCGTGCTCCCTAGGCAGTAATTGTAGGTAGGTAGTACCTATTTAATCTCTAGTGTTCAACAACGTCACCCAATGTCCGGCCTTAATTGGGTGTGCCGGCATAGGAATACAACGAACAACGAAAAACCTATGCCGACTAAATCTCGGGTTTTCGGGATTCAAAACCGAGCTTACATTTCTACCGAAACACGATGCGGCGAACAGAGCACGAGAATCCGCCGGTTACTTCGACCGCGTTATCCGGAACTGAGGCTTGTGGACGCAATGTTGGAATATCAGAACTGTAAAAAATCGCAACTTGGTTCTGGTCTGTCAGCTAAACCCGAGAACCGGTTTTCGGCAAAATTGTGCACCCCTTCGGCGGTATTTCAGGCACAGCGATCTCAAGCTTGGTAAGGGTGGCTTCTCGCACCCCAGAAACTTGGGGGTATTTGTAAGTTTTGGGGGGTCACCCAAAACCTGTACTTGGGGACGGCCAGCCCAGTCATTCTTAAACTTGTTGCTTCATGACCTCAATACAGAACTTGTAGCTGTAAATATGTTGCAGTAAAGACGGGAGAATGCTCATGAGCCGTTCATGTCAATCCAGGTATCTGTGATGTTGAAAACTGCTACTGTCTTTAGTCTGTCTAACGACGTTAGATCGTATGCTAGTGCCGAAAAGAGTGCCAGACTATGGATTGTGATCGCGGGGATAGCCACTCCGATAAAAATATCAGAGGGAAAGGGGTTTACACTACCCATCCTGTTTTTCTTTTCCCCTTTTTGGTGTTTCTTGAAGGTGAGCATTTGAGAAACCCGAACTTGGTGTAATGGGACGATGGTGAGCAAAAGTTAGCGTAACTAATAGTAGATTAAAGCAGTAGGCACGAAGAAAGAAACCAAATAAAAAAGAGACGACGCTAGAACAATGGAAGGAAGTCGATAAGCGTCAAAGCAGCGACGTGTAAGTACACCCAGTTTACTCCTCTCTATACTGATTGCACTCCTCAAAGGGGCGCTGCCCAAACAACATTTTCCCTCCCTTGTAGCTCCTGCGGATGTTCATCGCAGCAAACTCGCGCATGCTCTTCTCGAATTCGCCAATACTTTCCACCGATATTCCTTGTTTGGTAATGACCTTGGCTAGATTTGCGCCATCCACCAGCGCGGTAACGGCCCCCACGCCTCCAGCCGGACTCATGGAGTGGATCGCGTCACCGATCAGGGTCACCTTGGCTGACGGTTTCCAGGGGGCCATGTTGGGATCCGCGGTCAAGACCCTGAGCACGCTGGACTGAGATGTGTCCTGAAGAAGCAGAAGGGAGCGGATGCTGGCATCCCAGCACTCGGTCATGCGCAGCGACAGCGCAGCGGCGTCTTCCCCCGTACACGAGCTCGTGTGGACGACATGGGCGGGTAATTCAAACATGCTCGTTCTGGCGATAAGAACCCAGTACATGTAGTCAGCCGGCATGTACTTGTCCAACTCGGTGTTCTTGTTCTTGGGGAAGCGAATCGGCTCCAGCAGGAGCGTGACGGCTGATTCATCAACGTCGAGTCTTTGCGTGATGGGCGTCCGGTCGACCACGAGCGTCATCCAGCGCATTGCATGAGCAGGGAAGCTCTTGATCAGATCGGGGGTCATCAGCGTCTTGCCGTAAATGCATGTTCCCTCCGTGTCGAGAGGGCACTGATCGGGAAGATACTGCCGGCGCGTCGCCGAGCCCTTGCCGTCTGCCCCAATGAGGAAACAGCCTAACGCCGAGGAGCCGTCCTTGAAATGCGCAACAACGGGACGACCGTCATCTTCTTCTCCTACGTCGTAGCGAATCAGCTCCTTGCCGTACGTGATGGAACCGTCCAAACCGGTGAGAAGGATGTCGCGAAGAACCTTCCGATCGCAAGTGTAGGGCTTGAGGCCTTTCATGGTAGGGCTGCCTCCAGCACGGCAGGCCAAGATGGATCCATCGGCCGCGTTGATGTCTGTCTCGCCGAGCTCTGTCATGGAGCATGTTTTCTGAAATCTTTCCCAGAGATCAGCCGTGAGGGCCTCCTTCAGAGCGTTGGCACCCTCGCCGTTGAGCCGGAGCCGGTAGCCCTGCGGTCTCCACGCAGCGTCCGGGTCACGCTCGTACACGTGGAAGGGAGCTCCAGCTTGCCGGAGCCCCTGTGCTAGGCAAAGCCCTCCCAGCCCTCCCCCGATGATCAGAATCGGGCTTGCTGCGGACCCCATGTTTTTCGCGTGATTGAAGGTTTTTTGAATGTTGCGAGACGGTCGGCCAATTAAAAGGTAAGCAATGAGCGAAGAAAATATTGTAAGTTTGGTCCTGAGTCTAAACAGGTGATTTGATGTAAAGCAACTATTTCCAAAAAATCTCAAGTTATCTTGTAGCGATAGCATTTAGTTCCTCCGAGGTTAGGTTGAAAAGTTGTCTTTTTCTCGGGTGTCGCCAGTCCGGCCGGTGTATCGGTGACCATCTTACGTACATGTAGTTTCAGCACCGAAATCCGAAATCCGATGCCACAGTAAAACGATTACCCGCTGATTATTTTCCTTAGGCATTGCTCGAGGTATATCAATTAGAAAATGCTGATGGAGAGATCTTTGCTTCTATATTCTGTCTCAAATCCACCGCCCTGCGTTCCCTGTTCATTGAAGGTTCATGTCTAACCATACGTCAAGATGAGTCAGGAAAACCAAAACGGCAAAGCAATGCTGTGCCTCACGATGTGTGCCTATCGCAAGGAAGGGATGGACCATGAGGACTATCGAAACTACATGACCAAAGTCCACGCACCACTGGTCCTGGGCCTCATGATTAAATACGGCATTGACAAGTACACCATGGTGAGTGTTCTGCAGGCGGAAATTC